GTGGAGGCAAGAGGAAGCATTTCCTAAGTCTCTCCTCCCCCAGTGATCAGTCTGCTGCAGACAGGAGGAAGTATTTCCTCAGACTCCCCTCCCCCAGTGATCAGTCTGCTGCATGCAAGAGGAAGCATTTATTCAGTCTCCCCCAGTGATCAGTCTGCTGCAGGCAGGAGGAAGCATTCCCTCAGTGATCAGTCTGCTGGAGGCAGGTTGAAGCATTTCCTTAGCCTCTCCTCCCCCAGTGATCAGTCTGCTGCAGGCAGGAGGAAGCATTTCCACAGTGATCAGTCTGCTGGAGGCAGGTTGCAGCATTTCCTTAGCCTCTCCTCCCCCAGTGATCAGTCTGCTGCAGGCAGGAGGAAGCATTTCCACAGTGATCAGTCTGCTGGAGGCAGGTTGCAGCATTTCCTTAGCCTCTCCTCCCCCAGTGATCAGTCTGCTGCAGGCAGGAGGAAGCATTTCCACAGTGATCAGTCTGCTGCAGGCAGGTGGGAGCATTCCTCAGTCTCTTCTCCCCCAGTAAGCAGTCTGCGGCAGGCAGGAGGGAGCATCTCCCCAGAAATCAGTCTGCTGGAGGCAGAAGGAAGCATTTCCCTAGTGATCAGTCTGCTGCAGGCAGGGGGAAGCATTTACTCAGTCTCTCCTCCCCCAGTGATCAGACTGCAACATTGTAACTTTGTATCCAGTCACAATGTGAAAGGCTGCAGCAGGGGCTGATCTGTGTACATTTATGAACACAGCCAAGAACTGCACAGGGTTTACATGATTGTGTCACCTCTGAGCCGGCATTTCATCCGGGGGGAGGAGATGGTGACCCCAGGCGATGTGTTTATTCATACAGAAGTCTTGACATTCTATCAACGCCAGTTATAAAAAAAGTGGCCAATGTAGAAACAATGATAGTTGGGCACATAAACTGAACTTGGCTGGATGAGACAAAGACGAGATGTGTTAGATATTTCGCAGATTGCAACCTGCGATTTGTTTTACAATGTACTCTCTATAGCAGCCGGGTAGATTGTATGGCGGAATCTTGAAATGTTTTATAGTCGCCTTTATTCTGTTGATGTTGTATGAAAATATCCTTAAAGGAGAACTATGAGATGAGTGATTTCCACTCACCTCATAGTTCTAGCCGACCTGTGACAATGAGACTGTCACAGGTCGGCTCAGTAGATCGGGAAGTGAGCGAACATATACCGGCGCTCGCTCACCTCTCAATCCTGTCACGGCTCTCTGCCGTGACAGGGGAGGGGCTGGATTCCCCTCTCCCCGCTCCGATCTGACTGGCGGATAATGCCGGTGGCCAGCTTAAGACGTAGCGCAGCGAAGTGGGATGTGGTGTCGTCTGAGGGGCGCTCGCTGCTAATAAAAATCCCCCCTGCCGGTCGTTTATAATAACTCATGGAATGATTCCGCCAATCCGCTCATCGCCACAGTCATCGGTTAGTGTCTGCTTCATGTTGTGCCGCACGCGGTTTGCTTTGCATCGCAGTCCCAGCATCGCCCTGCCAGCAATGGCGGATGGTGATTTTCTTTTTCTGTCATCTGGGATCAGCGGGGAACCTGCCGCTGGGAGTTGTGATTGGAATTGGTGGCTGGAAGTTGTGTGATTGGGAGTCTTGGCACAAGCCTTGTCTCACCTGAATAGGCTCTCTGATTGCTTTGTCCCGGCGGCCCTCAGGTATGATGAATTAGACGGCACACAGAATTAGCTCAGCGGGTCCCCTTGTTCTTCACAACAGCGCAGTGGGGGGGAAGAAACATACATTGTAGCCGGTCTTCTTTGTCTGTTAAACCTCCTCGCCCTGCTGTTCATAAAAGTCAGGAGATCTGTACTGATGGTTACAGGTCCAGTAGACGTCGTAAACTAACACTTTGCACCTCAGCACTATATCTGTAATGGAACTACAAGTCCCATGATGCATTGCAAGACTGGCAGTCACAGACATGACTCCCAGAGGCAGATGCTTGATGGGATTTGTAATTGCAATGACAGCTTAGAGTGCCCAGGTTACCGGCTTTACACTGATGCAAATAATATTTTCGGATCTGTACATCATGGCCATGTCCTTGACCTCTGCTTCAGCATACCTTGGCCAGGTCCTGGATCTCCGCTGCAGCACACCATGACCAGGTCCTGGATCTCCGCTGCAGTACACCATGGCCAGGTCCTGGACCTCTGCTGTAGCACACAATTGGCAGGTCCTGGACGTCTGCTGAAGCACACCATGGCCAGGTCCTGGATCTCCGCTGCAGTACACCATGGCCAGGTCCTGGACCTCTGTTGCAGCACACCATTGCCAGGTCCTGTACTTCCTCTGCAGCACACCATGGTCAGGTCCTGTACTTCCTCTGCAGCACACTATGGCCAGGTCCTGTACTTCCTCTGCAGCACACTATGGCCAGGTCCTGGACCTCTTCTGCAGCACTCCATGGCCAGGTCCTGGACTTCTGTTGTAGCATACCTTGGCCAGGCCCTGGACCTCCTCTGCAGCACTCCATGGCCAGGTCCTGGACTTCTGTTGTAGCATACCTTGGCCAGGCCCTGGACCTCCTCTGCAGCACTCCATGGCCAGGTCCTGGACTTCTGTTGTAGCATACCCTGGCCAGGTCCTGGTCCTCTGTTATAGCACACCATGGTCAAGAACACTCCTCCTTCTCCTTTCTGGACAGGAAGTGAGAAATCCAGTCTGTTGGCCTAAGAGATCTGTTGTAGAAGATATGGCCACTAAATACCGTGATTGGGTAACTAAATACCGTGATTGGGTAAAGATTGGGTAAAGATGGGGATGTTACACGACCGGCTGCTGTGGACTTTAGTGAGAGCAATGGCGGCCGGTCCCTTCCCTGCGACCTGATGAGGGACATATTGGAGGTAGAATTAAAGAAGACACGTTGCAGATATTGAGACTGAAATGTATGCTTTCAGGTAAGCCTGCAGCTTTACATAGCGAGAATATTTTGAGCTAAGCTTTAAAGTGTTTTTAATACAACTGAAAAGCAGATTTGATTTAATCCTCTACAGATACAAATTCAATTAAACAAACAGAAACATCAGATGTTGGCGGCAGCTGCTGTACAGACGGAGCCGCTTTCCGTCTCCATATGCTCAGCACCTGTAGTGTCCGCAGATCTCCATACACAGCTGGAGTTTAGAAGATAAGAGAACGTCTTATAGGTCTCGTTTGTGTTTCTTCTGAAATACACTGAGTGGCCAGATTATTATGACCCCTCCCCCATCAGTACTTGGTTGGGCCGCCTCGTGACTCCACGAGATGATGAAAGGTGATGCGAGGAATCTGACAC